CGTGTCACTCCTAATATGGAATGACAGCGCTATGTTTCGTTTGTATGCGCCAATCATTAGCGTTGTTTTATTTTCGGAACGTTTTGGCATGATATATTCTAGAGTACAAACACGTGTTTGGCACTTCTCCGATTAGCTGTCACCGAGACATATGCCGCTCTAACGTTGACAATTACATTAACCAGGCAAAGCGCTGTCGTGAGAAGTCCGATTCAGGCCGTCGCTGTAATTCCTTCTATGGTAGCTTCGCAACTTGATGCTCGTTATGCACACCCTCCTTTCTATGCTCTCTACGATGTCAACTCCTCATGAAGCTATTATTTAGCGATCTATATTTTATACCAAGAAGTATTTGCTGTACAACGTATTGATGTTCATGTTGAGTACAAATAAACCAGTTTGAATTATACCTCACGTCTGTTCAACTCAAGAAAACACAACGCAATCGATGTCCGTTTCAATAACAATTCCGCATGATTAGTCAGTTCGTTTTATGTGACGAAAAGAACACCCCAACGCCTAGTTTTGCGATATAAACTTATCCACCACACCATAGTAGCACCAGGGAAATTACTAGTTCCCTAGGGAGACTAGTACATCAACTAGTGCCTGGGGATGACGTCACTGGTCCCCTGATCGTGTGATTTCCAATATGGAAATACCATGTTCACAAATGATGTTGTATAAGCATTGGCATTTCAAAATGAATTTAAGTTATATCTTATTTCAAAGTAGGTTGACTGGCAATGTGTGTCAAAATTTTAAGGCAGATTAGGTTGTTATATTCATCTGTATACATTAAACTTGAATTATGCCGACAGGTTCCGGCATATAAATAGCTCTATGCTCCAATAAGTCTATATCTATATAATGATATTTATATGGCCAAGAATTGGCCACTATTATTGTACACAAAAGTACACAAAAAACACAATACATGGCTAATGGAACATTGCTAATCTACAAGTCTGCACTATTGTGTGCATTATCCAGTGGCTAATGTCTTGAGTTAATGGCGTGTCTACAAATAGTAATCATCTTTGTTCATTTGTCCTTGCAGTTAATGTCTGAGTTAATGGTGTGTCTACAAAGAGCCAGAAATAGTTTATTGTCACCTAAAAAATATTCACTTGAAGAATTATATAGAAATAAAAGCATGGTGAGTAATTTCACAAAATATAATTATTATTATATAAGTTACTAAAGTCACACACTGTCACTGGATGCCACAGTGTCAGGGAATGTATGTTCACAGTCAGCTGGCGCACACGTGATAATAAAATAAATACGATATTTACTATATGGGGGCCGCCATCTTGAATGACGCATAAAACTAAATAAGAGACAAGTTGTGAAACATGTTTTTCAGATTCCTACAAATCAAGACAAAAATACCAATCTTTCACAAAAATACAGTTCGTTTGAGTTATATTAAGCCAACCGTTAACAAAATTCGGCTTTTTTGTGTGGAAAATCCCTTGCATATGAACACCTAATTACGCGAAGAACCTAGAACACTAAGCCGGGGTATTTGAAACCGAAATTGTCATCTAAGCGTTAGGCCGTCGCTGATTGGCTGCTGAGCTGGAATGCCAATTTTTAGTGTGTATGTTTATCATGTCATGTATGATATTACTACTGTGTGCACTTGCTTACAGTAAAAATTAACTTACTTGTAAAACTATTTATTTTCACTGACATTTAGTTTCTCGATATTGATGTTTTGAGGAATTTCACTGGGTTCATGAACTTGGCGGGAAAAGAATAAGTTCTATTGTTATTCTACAAGTTCACATGGATTTAATTTAGCAGATTTCACTTATCAACTGAAATAGTGAAATTAAAACCCATCAAATAATTACTGCATTTGTAGTACTTCATTGCAAAGAACAAAGAAAGCAGCAATTCTTTATATATGATACAGGTAAATTCATATGATTTCAAATAATTACTAAAATGACAAATGAAAAATGTGTGAATGAGACATTTATGCGATTTTCAACAAATGATGGTGATGAGTATTAGCATGTCTGGGTTCAGTGCGTGATGCAATGATTGACAGGTTCATTAATATTCCACTAACTAGCGTTAACTCACTAAAATTGGAAACTATAATTTTGCACGCTGGTGTTTCACATTATTCTTTGAGATTTTTTTATGTTGGCATTGCAAGACAGCGTTGAAGGAACTAGGTTATACATCACTTTGAAAATACCAACGAGGAGTCATTGATGCATACACTTCTGGTCATGACAGTTGTGTCAGAGTCGGTTCATCAAATCAGCGACAGTAACCCGGCTTTAGTCATTTCTATACTCCTATATTTTATTTTATTAAAAAAAAGACCCCCCCCCCCCAAAAAAATAAAATAAAATAAAAATAAACAAGAGGCTGTATAGTGGAGAGCAGTCATAGGTCTAGTGATTCCCTGTCAGACATGACGATATAACATTTGACTGTAGATTTTATGTTGATACTGCCTCACCACTGTAAACTGTATTTCTGCCTCTCTGTGTCCAATTGCCACTATAAATCTCAATGAATAGACAGTGGGAAGTAAGTTGTCAAAAACAAAGACACTTCTCATTAAGTGTGTTCTATTTTGTTTGTTGACGCTGTAAGAGAAAGTCAACAGCTGACTTGCACTTAAATAATAAATAAATACTGACACCTGCCATGTGTATTACTGATTTAAATATCCCTGGATACAAGTGATTATTATCAAGTCATCACAGTAGCAGCTTACCAGTCCGGACAACACTTTGTGTTTCATTGCTAAAAGTATCAGGTTGTGAAAGCACAATACAGTAGTTTTATTGTGTTTTTTTTTTGTGTTTTTTTTGCAGCGGGCATTCAACCCACCATTGCCAGTTGATTCAATTATAAATTTTTATGTTCATCACAATAAATTAGTTATGTCAACGTATTACTTAACTCCAGCACAAGGACCAAGACCACAGGTAAAACAGTTACATTGATATGTTACGGAGCATATGCGCAATACATTATGGGAAAGACATTATAAAGAAAATATATTATCATGCTGGAAATCCACTAACTTACATTGTATGTCACCAATTTTTTAAAAATATGACGAAATACTATCACCATAGAAACCAATGTGGGAAAATAAGATAAATTGTACATTCTGAATGGATTCTCGAAAAATTTTCAGTGACCCCAATTTTTCTAATGGCATGAACCCATCATAATGAAAATATGAAAAAACTGACATGCAATAATTTCCTATTTTGACTGAATCCTCTTAAATACATATTTATGGTATGAGCTATGATACAATTAAGGTGGAAGCTATTTTTGATTAATAAATTGTACTCCCAGTCAATATATTGATTTAAAAGTATTTGGGTGTCATCACTATATTATATTTTATAGTTGTATTTTAATGAATGGCGGCCATTTGTCGATCTACATCAGGTGGACCTCACTCAGATTTGTTCATTTAGTGATGATATCTTCAATTCTCTAATGAAAATGTGCAGTGAGCTATCTCAGCTGTCGGGCTGCTTCTTTTAATGCTTTCCTAGACTCTGTAGAATCTTTGACAGCAAATTAACACCACATCTGAATGACTATAACTCTCTTTTATATACGCTTTTTGTTTTTCAGAAGCCATCAGTGACATCTATTGAGTCCAAGCTAGGTTCCACTTTGTAAGTATTGAACATAATATTTCAGAAAAAATTTTGAGTTCAGTTCCAATTGTCAAATGAAAAGCTGATGTGATTTTGTCAGTTAACTAGCATAATTTGTAATTAATATTTTCAGTGAAGTTGGTCAATACCGCTATGAAGTAGCCGCTCAGTACCAAGTCGAGTGCGCCGTACCGTGGTTGAATGATGTCATCACACTTTTCACAGTAGCGTTACAGACGTGTCAACAACTCAAAGATAAGGTAATTATACATCACAGTAGTTATAAGTAATTATAGATTTTAAAACCATTCTTCATTTCTAATGCAGGCATTCTATAATATCAACTATTTAATTTTTATCTCTAGAAATGTTTTGATTTTGTAACTCAAGTGTTTGTGCAGAAAAAAAAATTAGAAAAAAACTCACTGTTTGATGAGGTTCAAAGTAAATTGAAGGTTATGTCATCTTCAAAACTTTCATTATTATTGGTAAATAATACTATTATTAATATTATTAACACCTGCAGTAGTATAGCGCCCTCAGTGGTAGCTTGGTTTTTTGATTGTTCAATTTTCATTCTTTCTAACATTTTACTTTTACTCGTTTAAAGTTCGTGGTCATGTTGGAATCAATCACAGCTGAATAGCATGACCGAACAACTTGCATCACTTGCTCATGTATATTAATGATCTGCTTTCAAGAGAATTTAAAGGGCGTCAGTCGTTGCGCCGCGCCCTGTTCGATATGGGACTCGTAGCAACGTATACAATGCGTGTAAAATACATTGTTTATTTACATGAAATTCGAACACATGCTGCGCGACGACCAACGCGATTTAAGCAATTATTAGTTAAAAGTTTTCAGGAAATTTGAACAGTGCCCTCATTGGTATGTAAATGTGACATTCTCTTGTTTTTCTGCAGATTGCTGTATTTGATGTGTATGGAGCCAATGCTGTTTGATGATTCTACAAACAACTGTTGTCATACAGTAACTGAACAACAGGTCACAAGAAAAGAAATGTCTAAGTAAAAGACCTTTCTTAGACAGTGAATGTTCTAGGTTTGTCGTAGACGTGATAATTGGTCATTTTAATATGGCCTTACTCAGGAGTAATTCGGTAATTTCTTCCATGTGTATGTTACCGTAGTAACAATGGTGCAATGATGAGTGACTATGCAAATGTGTAGTAGCAAAAAATTGTATTTAATTTGTCATTTTGTCTAATGGTATTGATCATAACATTCCTGCCTGGAGCTGAGATTAGTGAAGTGAAATTTTCAATTTTCACAATTATATAGAAGTTTTGACCAAGGTTCTCACTGAATGTGCATCACAGGGAATAAAAGGAAGAAATTTGCATTAATTTGAATAAATTATTCCATCTTGTTCAGAAAGAGTTATGATAAAAAGTAATGTATTCATGGATAATAAACTTCATGTCCCTAAGGTGTTCAGATGTCCATATAAGGAAATATGCTTCATCAATTTACATAAATATCCCAGCATCTGAAATTGCAATATAAAATATTTGGTGAACAATTTATTTTAAAATTTGTATTTTATTTTATTTAAACAAGCATACATTATGTGTGTGTGTGGGGGGGGGGGGTATGTTGGCATGTCAAGACAGTATCTGCAATTGATTCAAATTCACTTTTTATGTTACCGGTAACTTGTTTTTTTCATATACCCTTAATTACTTTATTAGAAGCACATGTTTGAAGAATTTCTTCAATCTCCATAACTTTATCTCCTACGAAACAATGACTCCAAAAATACCCATTCAAATTAGTTCCTGTTCAGATGTCAAGACCAATCACATTCAAACTCTGTATATACATCATGTCACACATATGCACATGTATTCATTTAATGTTCTGTTTCTGATCAGTTTAGTGATACAAATTGTGCAAAACGTTTCTGTCTTTCTGGAACTAGATCTTGGTCGTCTATGGATGGATTATGTTCAAGTTTGGCACATACGTTGAACATAACCTTGATGCACGTTGCTTTCTTTATTAGAGATCAGATTCAAAGTGGCTATCTGGTGGCCATTTTGTTTCAATAAATGTGGTTCTAAAAGGAATTCTTTGCAAGATTATATTACATTTACATTTTTGACTTCTACATTACATAGGCTTTTAATATAGGAAATAAAGTAGTTTAACTGTATCAAGTCAATATGTGAATCTTATGTCACATACCAAACATAAATACTTATGTAATTAAATACTCATGTTTCACTTGTGCGGCATAACCCTGACAGGTTTTTTTTTTTTTATTTAGTTTTTTTTCAATGTAACACACAGAAAACAGGAGCCTATCTCAATGTTTGAAATTGCTTGAAAATAAAACAATGCAGTGTTCTTTCATATCTTGCCACTTGATGCATTTATATGTTAACTGCCCTCTAGTGGTCATATTTAGAAATCCATTAACAAAAGTATGACATCCAGAACATCATAGTCCAGTAGTGATTAATAAGTGTCTCACTTTTTTGATAAATTTAAGTCTGAAAAATAAATGCTATGGTGTTGGGGATCTAGAAGCGTACCTAGACAAGTGAATTACTAACATTTCAATTTAGTTGTTTACCATTGAGATGGATTCATACTTGTACATAAATATTATCAAATAACTGGTAATGTATCCTTCATCAGCAAAATAGCAAAATGTTAATATCAATTAATACAGGGTAGAGTAATCAACTGAGTATCTTCTTTAGTATTATAATATCACCATTTCAGGGATTGATTTTAACATGAAATTTCATTTTCTGAGACAGTGTTCATTTTGGTTTTAATTCATCCTCCTTTCTGTTTACACCTAAACTTTTGCTCTCATTTTTGTTTAACCCTTTGAGCACCTAATTCATCTTTTGTTACGTTTCATAAAGTAACTACATATAATTTTTTTAATTTTGTGCAAAAATATTGATCAAGAGCTGTTGCCTTTTGGAAATGATTTTCAAAATTGGCAAAAAAAGTCTGTTTGTTTTTGTTATAATACATACTTGTCTACTGATAATACTAACACAGTATGCCATACTGCATACTTTTGTTGTCAAATGCAGATTATGTTTTCTACCTCAAGGTCATTTATTAAGATATATAAGCGAACATGTTCATACATGGAAGCCACTACCAGTATTCAGACCTACCTCTGAATTTGATTTTTCACTCTTTTGTATTTTCTGTTAAAATTAGCGAAATATACAAATTTGTATGGCTTTCTGTCATCATGCACCATTTGGTACACAGTAGCAGTAGAAAATTGCAGAGTAATAATTAAAATTATTAATAATATCTGTTCATTAAATAAACATCTTATGATATGAAATATACATAAAACAATTAGTTAATGTGGCTTTATTCTACTCAGCTGCAAGGGATAGTAGATTCCTCGTCTCAACCCTACTGAGTTCATATTATCTAGGAAATGACATACATCAGGTAGTTTACATGGATACCATGGTTCATTCAGTCTACTGTATCCCTCCCTCTTACTCCACCTAACCTGTATCAAAATGGTATAATCCAAACATAATAGCTTGAGATAAATGTCATCTCTCAATAACCCATCTTTTTATGTGTATGCCTATTTTGACTCGTACTGATAAACATTGAAATTTGAACTGGGCTTTAAAGAAATAAAATTTGTTTTTAGCTCCGCTGTCGACTTTGTCGAGCGGAGCTTATCATATGAGTGATTG